GATGTTGTAGGAAATTTAATTCACAAAACGATGTCGTTACGAATCCTCACGCTTTTTAAAGTGGGCATACGGAGATCTTTGACATTTCCTAGTGGGCATACGCAAATCCTTGACATTTTCTAGTGGGTATACGGCGTATACCTGCGTATCACGTAGACTACACCACTGGGTTTGGGCAACTTACGTTCTTTGCATATAGGGAGGACCGGCTCTGAATATGTCATTGTCATGGGTAAAGTTAAAATTCTCCTGGTTAGTAGTTGTTTAATCATCCTCTTCTGAGATTTTGAGAGATGTAATGTCTTATTTTATATTCAGTTGATTTCATCTTAGGCTGTGTGGCTGTAAGTCAGTTGTAGATTGTACAGTGGACACATATGAACACTGAGCAATGTTCATTTTACCCTGGGGATTTAGCTATGTGTGTTTCAGATTATAAACCAAGGGTTCTCAACTCTGGCCCTCAAGATCCAATTTCTTGCAGAGTTTAACTCCAACCCTGATTAGACTCACCCGCCTGCAAATTTATAGTTATCCAGATTACCGTGATTAGCTTGTTCAGGTGTATTTGATAAGGGTTTGAGCTAAACTCTGCCAGAAAGTGGATGTCAAGGGCCTGAGATGAGAACCCCTTTTATAAACCCTACATGAAAAACACATTAATATTGCTGTTTGTTTTGTTCTCCACACAGGTTACATCACTGTAATCTCACTGTTCAAACTTGTGAAAGTTTGTCTTCAGTTCTTCAATCCTCAAACGTCCTGAGAGAGCTGGACCTGAGTAACAATGACCTGCAGAATTCAGGAGTGAAGCTGCTTTCTGATGGACTGAAGAGCCCAAACTGTCCGCTACAGATACTGAGGTCTGAATTCAAATACTTGCATTTAATTTTATCTTGCTTTAATTATGTAAAAATCACACTGCTAAGATTTATTCTGTATGCAATTATATTGTACTTTTCTTGTTCAGATGTGCCATGTGTAATTTCACTGCTCAGTCATGTGAGAGTTTATCATCAGTTCTTCAATCCTCAATCTCTGTCCTGAGAGAGCTGGACCTAAGTAACAATGACCTGCAGGATTCTGGAGTGAAGCTTCTTTGTGATGGAATGAAGAGCCCAAACTGTCGGCTACAGATACTGAGGTAAATGGGTTTCCATTAAATTAATACAAAAATATATTTGAAAAATTTTGTCAACAAATCTGCTCTCAATGGAATGCCAGAACAAGAGACAAAAACAACATTTGCAGGGTTGTAATTGACCATGTCTATCATCATGGACATGACATGTGCAGTCAAAAAAATTATGTATTAAATTCCATTATTCATCACCACACCAATCAACATCATCACTGGGGCTTGACCTTGCTAATTATTTATAATTGGGATCATAATTAATGATATGCTAATTAGTGTTTTTGTTACTTTTTAGAATCTACAGAAAATAACAGCTGGAAATACAAACTACGCATGTCACTGTGTGAAAAAGACTGTCATGTGGACTATTTCTGTATGTCTTTGTAGATTGTCTGGCTGTATGGTGACAGAGGAAGGCTGTGGTTATGTGTCTTCAGCTCTGAGTTCAAACCCCTCACACCTGAGAGAGCTGGATCTGAGCTACAACCACCCAGGAGATTCAGGAGTCAAGCTGCTCTCTGATAAACTCAAGGATCCAAACTACAGACTGGAAAAACTCAAGTATGTAGAGCAGGAAGAGCTTCCATTAATAACAATATTCCCCTCGGCACTGAAAACTCTTTCTGACGGAGTGCTTGTTGCACAAATACACATGTATTTGCGTGCGACTTTGGACAGCAGCGGAAATCTAGATTGATTATCGCGCCACCAGGACAGTGGGTTTGCGTTGGAGTCGATGCACTCCTCATTTAGATAGCGCGTGAGGTCTTTATCTGCTCGCGCTCTCTTGGGTATGGGCGCTGACGCGGAGGTTGACCTTAACATGATTTCTTAATGTATATATATGTATGTGTGTGTATGTATATATGTTGTCCTCGCATTCTTTCTTGAACACACCTTGAATGTTTCTGTGACACACCTGAATGAAAGGCTCATTATTATGCAGGTCTTTGTCTCTCAGGTGAGAACCACCTAATTATACATGAGGGGGTTGGGCCGTTCACGCCTCCACGCATATTGCCTTTCCAAAAATAAAAATAAAAAATGTTTTTCACAATTTAAAACAATCTATTGTTTTATGTGAATAATTAGGCAGGATGATTTTCAGATCATTTTCCTGTGAGGAATAATACTATCTAATAATCCTGGAAAAACTTACCTCAGAAGTTATTTATTCTTAAGTGCTTTGTTGTTGTAATTGCGACATGGAATACCGCAAAAGACTGTTTAAATATGAATCGCGTGTCTGTGTGTGAATAAATGAATATCCTGTTATTTTTATAATTGCAATTAATCAGACATTTTTATCTATTCTAAATGTCTTTTGATTTCTTTTTGTCCCATTATTTTTTCTCATTTTAATGCTCTTATCAACATGGAAAAGTGGATCGCTTGCTTTGTGCAAATGTTTTTTATTGAACAACATTGGCACATACTGTGTTCAATTTCACACTAACATTCACACTTGGAGCAAATCATCTCTCACACAATGTAACACTGTCCATCAATAAAAGGGTGAAAAAAATACTGACGAGGTCCTGATATTGACGAGGGGGCGGAGAATTCACATCAGCTGTGTGTGTGTGTGTGTGTGTGTGTGTGTGTGTGTTTGTGTACTGATTAACTGTGTGTGTTTTGTAGTGTGGATCACGGAGGAGAGATCAGGATTACAGGAGGACTACACAAATGTACGTCTGCACGCTCTCTTTCTCTCTCTCTATCTCTCTCTCTCTCTCAAACACACTCTCATACACACCCTCTTTCACTCACTCACACACAAATGCACAGAGAGACTCACACACACGGCCGCATTAACCATAGGGCTAGGCGGGGCTAAAGCCCCGGGGCCCAAGCAAGGAGGGGGCCCGTGATTGGCTGTGGAGCAGATACTGCAAGCCATCTGATTACCAAAGCCAAGAGCCATATATTGAGAGAGTTGCAACACGTGGTTCATGGAAGCCCCAATAGGTCCAAAACAGACGCGGGCTGTCATGCTCTTCAATGGACAGACAGCAGCGATTGCATTATTAAACGGTAAATATAAAATAAAACACACACCAAAGTACTTTTTAAGCTTTTATTGCATTTGGTTAATGTCAGTGTTGCATATGGATGTCACGGTTATGGTGTGTGAAGATCAAGACAGGCAGACGAAAGAGGATCCAATGCAAAGGTTTACTCAGAATCAAACAGACCGGCAGGCAGAGGGTACACGCACAACTCAATAACATTAACATACACAGATGAATCAAACATAATGGGGTGAAAACAGGTGATACTGATGAACGAGACAATGAACAGGAGACTGATGAGGGAGTGAGTTCAGGTGTGGGTGACGAGAGGATCTTGGGAAGTGTAGTGCTGGAGACGCAGACAGAACGGTGCAGACGAAACTGTGACAGAACTCCCCCCTCCCGGAAGGCGTGGCCTCACGCCGCAAAACAGAGGAAGGAGGGGGAACGATCTGAGGGCTGAGCAGGGCGTGGCCAGGGCGGAGCAGGCTGAGGGTGTGGCCAGGGCGGAGCAGGCTGAGGGCGTGGCCAGGGCGGAGCAGGCTGAGGGCGTGGCCAGGGCGGAGCAGGCTGAGGGCGGAGCAGGCTGAGGTCGTCGCCAGGGCGGAGCAGGCTGAGGACGAGACCAGGGCGGAGCAGGCTGAGGTCGTCGCCAGGGCGGAGCAGGCTGAGGGCGAGACCCTTCGGGGGGCCACGGCGGTGAAGACCCTTCAGGCGGCCACGGCGGAACTGAAAGGCCGAAGAACCATGGCGCCATCGTAGTCCTGGCACGCTGAAGCCGCGCCGTAGATCCACGGGACCAAAGAGGCGACGCGGGGACGGGTGACCGGAGTGACGATGAGGCGAGGGAGGCCGACGGGGAGACAAGAGGAAGGGAGGAGTCCAGGGATGCCGAAGGGGTGCAGGGTGAGGGTGCAGCCTGAATCCCGGAAGTCCGCGGCTGGTACTGGATGTCGAGCAACGAAGGCCGACCTGGCGTGGCGATCGAGCCCAGCGGAGCTTCCGGGCAGATGGACCGCGAAGGCGATGAGGGAGTGGTGGGTCCAGGTGCAGGCGGAGGGCTGACAGGGTGAGATGAAGGTGTGGGCTGTGAGGACAGAAGTGTAGACCTGGACTCGGCCTCACTGAAGGGGCTAAAGTGAGCAGAGGGGATTACAAGCAGTGGTGGATGAGCGGTCAAAATGTGATGGTTAGGAGGAGGTGGGAGAGGGAGGCTGGGAGGGACCATGGTCTCTGGCTCTGGCTGGACGGTCTCTGGCTCTGGCTGGACGGTCTCTGGCGCTGGCTGGATGGTCTTTGGCGCTGGCTGGACGGTTTTGGCCTCAGGCTGGACGGTCCCTGGCTCAGGCTGGGCAGGGCTGGACGGAACCAGCGATGAGGAGAGTTCAGGCTCGGCGGGGCTGGACGGGACCAGCGGTGAGGAGGGTTCAGGCTTGACAGGGATGGACGGGACCAACGATGAGGAGGGTTCAGGCTTGACGGGGCTGGACGGAACCAGCGATGAGGAGAGCTTGGGCTCGGCGGGGCTGGACGGAACCAGCGAAGAGGAGAGCTCGGGCTCGGCTGGGCTGGACGGAAACCAGCGATGAGGAGAGTTCGGGCTCGGCGGGGCTGGACGGAACCAGCAATGAGGAGAGTTCGTGCTCGGTGGGGCCGGACGGAACCAGCGGTGGAGATGAATTAGAACGGGCCGTACTGACCATAAACGGGGAGCCAAACCAACATAATATTGCCTCGAGATATCGTTCAATGGTCTCACCGGGACCTCCGGGTGGAATCAGCGCATAAAATTGTGAATCCAACCCACTCCAAAATAGATCCATCAACTGCTGATTGGTAAGGGAGGTTTGATGGCTAAACTTAATAAAGTCCTCAATATAGGATTCAATCTTACGGCCATCTTGGTAGAGAGAGCACAAAATGAATCCCGCTCTGTCCATCTCTTGTTGGGTCGATCATTCTGTCACGGTTATGGTGTGTGAAGATCAAGACAGGCAGACGAAAGAGGATCCAATGCAAATGTTTACTCAGAATCAAACAGACCGGCAGGCAGAGGGTACACGCACAACTCAATAACATTAACATACACAGATGAATCAAACATAATGGGGTGAAAACAGGTGATACTGATGAACGAGACAATGAACAGGAGACTGATGAGGGAGTGAGTTCAGGTGTGGGTGAGGAGAGGATCTTGGGAAGTGTAGTGCTGGAGACGCAGACAGAACGGTGCAGACGAGACTGTGACAATGGAGAGGCAGGGTGACAACTTAGATGTTTTTTAGGCTATATTTTTGGAGGGAAAAGCTTGTGTTCATGTTCGCATTGGTAGTTGCACTGGCTTTAGCGGCTCTAACTTAACTTTTCCATGTCATTCATCTGATGTTGGACGTCTCATGATCTTTATTTTAGCACAACTGGGATGTAGGTTATTGATTCCCGTGATCTTGCTTATAAATTCCGATTCAGCTATTAGCCTACCGTGATCACGCAAAGACCCGTGGACCGGTGGATTACAATCATGACAACCAACATAAAATATAAATAATTACGCTGTGCATGTACAAATGAATGATTTAGGAGGGATATAGACTGCTCACATAATGTAGCAATGACCATATTTACAGTAATATTCAGTAAATTTTAACTGTTAGGTATCTTTTCTATTTTGAATGTACTTTATTTTGTATAGTGCTATGGACCATTTAATATGTATGTCCTGAATAAAGATATGATGATGATGATGATGATGAGTTAATGAGTAAAATATTTGTTCCTAAATACGATCCATAACTGCTGGGATTCAATTCAGTGGCTAATGTACCCCTTCTTACCCTATTCATAGACTAAACCATTCATCAGAAAACACACAAATACATTTATACGATGTACTGTGTATTGGCCTACACATGTTTCAATCACACATAATAACTAACCCTAACCCCCCCTCCCCCCACACATACATATATTATATAAGCCTACAAACATTGCACAAACACATGCATAACCCTAAACCATTTAAATAAATCAATTGTGTGTGTGTGTGTGTGTATCTAATAATATATATATATATATATATATGTATATAATATTTTATATATTTTTTAAATAATATAATAATATGTTATATATTTATATGATGTTATAAAAAATATTATATACATCAGGTTACCATAAGTTAGCTAACAACATTAGTGAAGTGTTGGTCACGTAAGCTATCGCTGCAATTAACCTATTATCTTCCAATAAACATTTACTAGATCTGGCTACATAACATATAACTACAGACTAGATTCACGAGAGGTCGGCTAATGTGTGTAAAAGTAAAAAATACAGTAAATTCATTAATTTACCAGCGAGCGTACTACGGAAGCACTGAAAATGAATGGGGTTCAATGCTGGAAATATCAGTGGTTGGAACTAATGGGCGGGTCCACGACAAATACTCATCTCATCTTCTTCCGCTCATCCGGGGCCGGGTCGCGGGGGCAGCAGTCTAAGCAGAGATGCCCAGACTTCCCTCTCCCTAGACACTTCCTCCAGCTCTTCTGGGGGGATACCGAGGCGTTCCCAGGCCAGCCGGGAGACATAGTCTCTCCAGCGTGTCCTAGGTCTTCCCCGGGGCCTCCGCCCAGTGGGACGTGCCCGGAACACCTCCCCAGGAAGGCGTCCAGGAGGCATCCGGAACAGATGCCCGAGCCACCTCAGCTGACCCCTCTCGATGTGGAGGAGCAGCGGCTCTACTCTGAGCTCCTCCCGAGTGACCGAGCTTCTCACCCTATCTCTAAGGGATCGCCCAGCCACCCTGCGGAGAAAGCTCATTTCAGCCGCCTGTATCCGGGATCTTGTCCTTTCGGTCATGACCCAAAGCTCATGACCATAGGTGAGAGTAGGAACGTAGATTGACTGGTAAATCGAGAGCTTTGCCTTACGGCTCAGCTCCTTCTTCACCACAACAGACCGGTACATCGACCGCATTACTGCTGAAGCTGCACCGATCCGTCTGTCAATCTCCCGTTCCATCCTTCCCTCACTCGTGAACAAAACCCCAAGATACTTAAACTCCTCCACTTGAGGAAGGATCTCTCCACCAACCTGAAGTGGGCAAGCCACCCTTTTCCGGCTGAGGACCATGGCCTCGGATTTGGAGGTGCTTATTTTCATCCCAGCCGCTTCACACTCGGCTGCAAACCGTCCCAGTGCATGCTGAAGGTCCTGGTATGAAGGGGCCAACACGACAACATCATCCGCGAAGAGCAGAGACGAAATCGTGTGGTCCCCAAACCTGACACCCTCCGGCCCCTGGCTGCGCCTAGAAATTCTGTCCATAAAAATTATGAACAGAACCGGCGACAAAGGGCAGCCCTGCCGGAGTCCAACATGCACCGGGAAGAAGTCTGACTTACTACCGGCAATGCGAACCAAGCTCCTGCTTCGGTCATACAGGGACCGGACAGCCCTTAGCAAAGGACCCGGACCCCATATTCCCGGAGCACCCTCCACAGGCCGCCTCGGGGGACACAGTCGAATGCCTTCTCCAAATCCACAAAACACATGTGGACTGGTTGGGCAAACTCCCATGAACCCTCCAGCACCCTGTAGAGAGTATAGAGCTGGTCCAGTGTTCCACGGCCAGGACGAAAACCGCACTGTTCCTCCTGAATCCGAGGTTCCACTATCGGCCGTATTCTCCTCTCCAGTATCCTGGCATAGACTTTCCCAGGGAGGCTGAGAAGTGTGATCCCCCTATAGTTGGAACACACCCTCCGGTCCCCCTTCTTAAAAAGAGGAACCACCACCCCGGTCTGCCATCCCAGAGGCACTGTCCCCGACCGCCACGCGATGCTGCAGAGGCGTGTCAACCAAGACAGCCCCACAGCATCCAGAGACTTAAGGTATTCGGGGCGGATCTCATCCACCCCCGGTGCCTTGCCACCGAGGAGTTTCTTGACTACCTCGGTGACCTCAGCTAGGGTGATGGACGAGTCCACCTCCGAACCCTCAGCCTCTGCTTCCTCAATGGAAGACGTGATGGCGGGATTGAGGAGGTCCTCGAAGTATTCCTTCCACCGTCCGACGACATCCCCAGTCGAGGTCAACAGCCGCCCACCCCTACTGTAAACAGCATTGGTAGGGGACTGTTTCCCCTTCCTGAGGCGCCGGACAGTTTGCCAGAATTTCTTCGAGGCCAGCCGATAGTCCTTCTCCATGGCCTCACCGAACTCCTCCCAGGCCAGAGTTTTTGCCTCCACGACCACCCGGGCCGCAGTCTGCTTGGCCTGCCGGTACCTGTCAGCTGCCTCCGGAGTCCCACGAGCCAACCAGGCCCGATAGGACTCCTTCTTCAGCTTGACGGCATCCTTTACTTCCGGTGTCCACCACCGGGTTCGAGGATTGCCGCCTCGACAGGCACCGGAGACCTTACGGCCACAGCTCCGAGCAGCCGCTTCGACAATGGAGGTGGAGAACATGGTCCACTCAGACTCAATATCTCCAGCCTCCTTCGGGATCTGGTCGTAGCTCTGCCGGAGGTGAGAGCTGAAGATCTTTCTGACAGGAGATTCGGCCAAACGTTCCCAGCAAACCCTTACAGTACGCTTGGGTCTGCCGAGTCCGTCCAGCCTCCTCCCCCGCCATCGGATCCAACTCACCACCAGGTGGTGATCAGTTGACAGCTCCGCCCCTCTCTTCACCCGAATGTCCAAGACATACGGCCGCAGGTCAGATGAAACGACCACAAAGTCGATCATCGACCTACGGCCTAGGGTGTCCTGGTGCCACGTGCACTGGTGGACACCCTTATGCTTGAACATGGTGTTCGTTATGGACAAACTGTAACTAGCACAGAAGTCCAATAACTGAACACCACTCGGGTTCAGGTCGGGGGGGCCGTTCCTCCCAATCACGCCCCTCCAGGTGTCACTGTCGTTACCCACGTGAGCGTTGAAGTCCCCCAGTAGAACAACGGAGTCCCCAGTCGGGGCACTTTCCAGCACCCCTCCCAGAGACTCCAAGAAGGCTGGGTACTCTACACTGCCGTTTGGCCCGTAGGCACAAACGACAGTGAGAGACCTATCCCCGACCCGTAGGCGCAGAGAAACGACCCTCTCGTTCACCGGGGTACACTCCAACACATGGCGGCTGAGCTGGGGGGCTATAAGCAAGCCCACACCAGCCCGCCGCCTCTCACCATGGGCAACTCCAGAGTGGTGAAGAGTCCATCCTCTCTCAAGGAGTGTGGCTCCAGAACCCAAGCCATGCGTAGAGGTGATTCCGACTATCTCTAGCATTTATTCTATATTTAACTTGTGAACGATTGACCTGCTGCTGCACGTAGGCCTATAGATTATGGCTGCCTGCGCCTTATTAGAATATACATCAACCAATAAATCGCCTTTACTCTTCACTTCATTCTAATCTAGTTTATTCTTAAAACACAGCGTCATCATCGACCCCACAAACTTTCGGTAAGTTTGAATATTAACTTGATGGATGTATAATTTAGCTTTTTGTGTTTGATTAAACTCTATATTCGCCTAAAGGGCTGGCAATAATATATCCGGTAGAAATATTTAAATTTTGCTGCGTCATCATGATGTAAGTTTATCATTTAAACGCGTTTTTAAACATTGTGGTTTGGACACAAATTATTTCACAGTGAGCAGCGGGAGAGAATTCATTTTGTAAATGCTGGTTTTGAGACCATGGTGAACTTGAGACGGTTTTGCACAGCGCACTTGAATCCGACTCTGGGGTCTCAAAGTGACAGACGCTGCTTTAAGTTTTTCATAGGTCAATTTATGTGCCTTTGTTCTATTTTAATTTGTGACTCTTGTCATCAGTAAGCTTGAGATTATTTTCTTAAGCTACTATTATTTTTTGGTGATATTGAAATGAAATTATGAAATTTTAGTGGCAATACATTTTGATATGATAAAAAAATCGTGTTAAAAGTAACATAACTTAACTGTGAAGTATATCATAGATGGATAAAATGACTCGTATAATAATATAACATTTAGCTCATGTAGTTGGTGACCTAAAGTGGTGGGGGGGGCCCTGCAGTAACTCATAGCCCCGGGGCCCAGTGAGCTCTTAATACGGCCCCACACAGACACTCACACACACTCACTGATGTGTTTTCTCTCCATCAGATCCTCATCCGCTCACTCTGGATCTGAAAACTGTGTGTTCACTCCTCCTCCTGACTGTGGAGAACAGAGTGATTACTGGCACTGTCACTCGCACAGGGTTTCACCTGTATCCTAATCACAAAGACCGATTTGATTTTGTGCACCAGGTGTTGTGTAGAGAGAGTGTGTGTGGACGCTGTTACTGGGAGATTGAGTGGAGTGGGTTTGTGTTTATATCACTGTCATATAAGAGCATCAGCAGGAAGGGAGAGGGTAAAGAGTGTTGGTTTGGACGTAATGATCAGTCCTGGAGTTTGTTCTGCTCTCCTGACAGATACTCATTCATACACAATAACATAGAGACTAAACTCCCTGTAAAGCCCATCAGGAGGAGAACAGGAGAGTGTGTGTGTCGCAGGAGAATAGGAGTGTCTGTGTGTGACAGGAGAACAGGAGTGTCTGTGGGTCACAGGAGAATAGGAGTGTCTGTGGGTCACAGGAGAATAGGAGTGTCTGTGTGTGACAGGAGAACAGGAGTGTGTGTGGATTACCGGAGAATAGGAGTGTATGCGGATCCCAGTGCAGGAACTCTGTCCTTCTACAGCATCTCTAACACAACAAGCCTCATACACACAGTCCAGACCACATTCACACACACACTCTATCCTGGGTTTTGGGCTCATTATAATGGATCATCAGTGAAACTGTGTTGATGAGTGAGAACAGACTGTACCCATAATGCTTTGGGTGCCGCATGATAAAGCAGTCAGAGTGAGATGTTGTTGCGTCTCTTATTGTCTCTTGATTCCAGTAATAACAGCTGACCTGCTGTCAGTGAAATAAAGAGAAAGCCAGAAGAACAGGCAGTGACACACAGAGAAGAGAGAGGAAATATGAGACACAATGAGACTCACTGCAAACATGTCTGATGATACGAGCCAATCCAAGACTTTCACTTTCAGACATTCATAGATGTGTGTGTTAGGCTCCTCCCCTTCACTTCTGGATCCAGTTTAAAACACCATTACTTTGCTCTGGGTGATGTGTGTATTATTACCAGTGTTGGGGGTAACGCATTACAAGTAACGTGCGTTACGTAATAATATTACTTTTCTGAAGTAACGAGTAAAGTAATGCATTACTTAATAAATTTACACATTAATATTTGAGTTACTTTTTAATAAAAGTAATGTGCGTTACTTTTCAGTTTAATTAATTTGCATTAAAAAAAAATAAGTACTGAATTAAAATGAACGTAGTCACGTAGTAGAACACGTGTGCGCCCTGCCGCGTTGCTAGTCAGAAACGGAGATATGGCAGGCCAGATTACATTACTGCGATGGAAGTATGCTCATTATTTTGAAATCGTCGAAGAAAAGGAGAAGGGAATAATCGTTAGGTGTAAACTATGTGTTGGTGAAAAGCTCTTGTCAACTGCAAAAAACACCACGTCAAATTTAAAAAAACATCTGCACGCAAAGCACAGCACTGCAGAGTTGGAAGAGAGAGCGCCGGCGAATGATACCTGCATCCCGCCTCAAGCTAAACAACAAAAGCTTGATTTCAGTTCATCATCACCAGCTAAAACAATTAGTTCCACTGAACTCAACAAATTGGTTGCTGCTTTTATTGTTGAGGAGATGCAGCCGCTGTCCACTGTGGAGGCGCCCACTTTTAGAAATATCGTCAGCAAAATCCCTGTGACAGGGAAAAAGCCGGGAGCCGTGCTGCCCGATCGTAAAACTTTTGCAAGTTTTTTGGACAATGCATATATGGAAATGGAGACCGAACTAAAGAAGACTTTTGCCGATTTGGAATATGTTTCAACCACTGCAGATCTATGGACTGCTCAGAATAAAAATTTTCTTGGCATTACAGTACACTGGATAGATCCCGCTACTCTGCATCGTAAAAAAGCTGCAATCGCCTGCAGACGATTTCGTGGGAGACACACGTACGATACCATCGCAGCAGAGTTAGAGCAAATTCACAGCTCATTTGCTCTTTGTGGTAAGATAACTGCCACGGTCACTGACAATGGCTCGAACTTCGTTAAGGCATTTAGAATGTTTCAAGCTGAAGATGATAACGAAACAGAGAATGATGAAGACGAGGTCAGTTTTACGGACTTGCACGCAGTTTTACGAGATGACGTTGAGTCCAGCGAACGGTATGTTCTCCCTCCACATCACCGGTGTGCATCGCATACCCTTAACCTTATATGCACAAACGACATAGTTAAATTTTTGACGGCGAAGGCAGATTGCAAAGCACTGTACAGAAGTGCAACTGGAAAATGTTCAGCTTTGTGGTCTAAAGATAGTCGATCGACTGTGGCATCAGAGAGCCTGGAAGAATTTAGCAAAAGAAAGTTGCTTAATAGAAAGCTGACAGATCTGTTTAATTTGTGATGTTGTTTGTTCTCAAGTATCATCTTATTGTCCTCTATAAAGTTAATAAAACATTTTAAATGTTTGAGATATGTCTTTTACCCTAATATAACTTATTTCATAATGGCAATTTGCTAGTATTACACTCCTTATTATTACAATGGATGGTGAATTCACTTTATATAGTCTACCCACACAAAAAGTACAAAAGTAAAAAACACATTACTTTCCATAATCTGTAATGTTTATTGATATTTTATATAGCATGCATAGCTCTGGGATCAGTTCTCCAAATATAATATTATTCTATATTATTATTCAATATATATGTGTTTTTAAAAGAACATTAAGGTCTCTGAATATAATATTACTCTATATTATTATTCAATATATTTGTGTTTTTAAAAGAACATTAAGGTGCTTATATAGGCTGTTGTTGAATATATTACTGCTTTAAACACTAGTACAATAACTTCTCTGTCGAAAAAACACCTGTAAGACCTGAGAGAGATCAAGCCTCAGCCAGGTAAGAAAAAGAAACGCAAAAGTAACTCAAAAGTAACGTAACACATTACTTTCCATAAAAAGTAACTAAGTAACGCAATTAGTTAATTTTTTGGGGAGTAACTAAATATTGTAATGCATTACTTTTAAAAGTAACTTTCCCCAACACTGATTATTACAGACGGCTCTGTTGATATATAGTGTGTGTACTGGACTAAACCTGTTAGTGGCTGTTTTTCTTTTATTATTAGTTCTGCTTTATCTTTTGATTGTTCGTCTCTGTTGTTGTGCAAATTCAAGAAATAAAACACTCTGAAAGATCATCTCAAAACACAGAGATGCGAAAGTTACAAGCAACAATTAAAGTCAAGTGTGTGTGTGTGTGTGGTTCTCACTTGATTTACAGCATTTATCATGTTATTATTGTTGTTGTTGTCAGAATTATGTTTAGTTTTGCTGTTTTTCTTCATATTTGAGTTTCTCTTGATCTTTATTCCCTGTTTCTGATTATTGTTGTGTGTATCTATACACTCCTGTTCTAGTTTAGATCACCACACACACACACACGCACACACTTCTAAATGTCATAATCATTAGTTAACAAACAAGTATTGATTAATTCTATGAGATCATTGTATTTAATGATTATTGTTTAAATGAACACATTTTCCGCTAACTGTGATTTGTGTGTGTGTGTGTGTGTGTTTCTGTAGTGTGTAACTTAAACAGTTTCCTCTAATAACAGATCTCTAGATTATAATGTGTGTTTTCTGCTTTGAAATGATGTGTATTGTGAAAAGCGATGTACAAATAAATGTGAAGTGAATTAAAAGAGTTTTATCTTATAAATCTGTTGCTTCTTTCACACAGTTTCACATTTCTTCAATCTTCAATTGTTAAGGTGTAATTTTTCAACAATATTGTGTTACAATCTCTGTGTGTGAAAATACAAAAGTGAGGAAACATTATTGAGAATAAAAGTCTTATTGTGCTTATATTCAACATTAACCATTAGCTTTTCTTTTACGATGTTTAGTTTTGTTACAACCACTATTATTAATATTTTATGTATTATTATAAGTAGTGTCAGGGATCACAGACGAATCAGACAAGATGGTAAGTTTAATGCTTTTATTTTGCAGGAAGGATCGCAGTTGGAGATAACAGGTGAGAAACTGTGACCGATTCCCAAGGGGGCAAGAACCACACTCCGGAAGAGCCGTCACCAAGAACACCAATCAGGCGGACACAGACAACTATATAAAATCTCTTTTCTTTATTCAAGGATTAATAGCACTTAAAACAGTCTCGGGGTAACTGGGTTCTTCTTCTCCCTCTAGGGAGCGTGGAGTCGCAGGGGCAGCAGCGGATGGCGGTGAAAGGTAAGCAGCGTAGAATGGATGGTTTGGCTCGTAACTCTAGCACAGTCGTGTGCTCTCTTCCCTTGCAGGACCAGCTCTTTAGCAAGTTTCCTCGGTTCTTCGACAACAGCAGATCGAATCCTGCAGTCAGCCGGCTTTCTATGCACATAGGACACAATGGTGAGTATGAAACTCAACGGTTACCGACCAGTTTTTCTCTCTTATCGCAGGGCAAGAGTCCATCGGGCGGCCAGGGCGAAACAGATAGTCCATCGGGCGGCCAGGGCAGCGAAGACCTCTCGGACAGCGAAGACCCCTCGGGCGGCCAGGGCGGCGAAGACCCCTCGGTCGGCCTGGGCGGTGATGCCCTCTCAGGACCAGACACCGGCTCGGGAACAGTAACATCAACAGGAACAGACACCGGCTCAGGAACAGTAACATCCACAGGAACAGACACCGGCTCAGGAACAGACACCGGCTCAGGAACAGTAACATCCACAGGAACAGACACCGGCTCAGGAACAGACACCGGCTCAGGAACATTAACATCCACAGGAACAGACACCGGCTCAGGAACAGTAACATCCACAGGAACAGACACCGGCTCGGGAACAGACACCGGCTCGGGAACAGTAACATCCACAGGAACAGACACCGGCTCGGGAACAGTAACATCCACAGGAACAGACACCGGCTCGGGAACAGACACCGGCTCGGGAACAGTAACATCCACAGGAACAGACACCGGCTCAGGAACAGACACCGGCTCAGGAACAGTAACATCCACAGGAACAGACACAAACACAGGAACAAACACTGGCTCTGAAACAGACATTGGCTCTGCCTCCGGCTCTGGAACAAACACTGGCTCTGCCTCCGGCTCTGGAACAGGCACTGGCTCTTTCTTCGGCTCTGGAGCAGCAGCCACCGGCTCAGGAACTGCAGACACCGGCTCAGGAACAGTCACTAGAACAGAAATGGTCAAAAGGACAGACAAACACAAAAACAAACACTGGGTCTGGTCCAGACATTGGCTCCAGCTCTGGAACAGGCACTGGCTCTGCCTCCGGCTCTGGAACGGCAGCCACTGGCATGTTCAGGATCCGAGCCAGACACTCCACATAGTCTAGCACAGCCTTGGCGGCCACGCGTATGGGCATCTCTTGTACCAGACTGGACAGACGGAACGTGAACAGTCTCTGACTGGGCAGACATGACGTGAACCATCTCTGACTGGGCAGACCGGACGTGAAGGGTCTCTGACTGGGCAGACGTGACGTGAACAGTCTCTTTCTGGGCAGACGTGACGTGAACGGTCTCTGACTGGGCAGACAGGACGTGAACAGTCTCTTTCTGGGCAGACGTGACGTGAACGGTCTCTGACTGGGCAGACAGGACGTGAACAGTCTTTGACTGGGCAGACGGGATGTGAACAATCTCTCGCTGGGCAGACGTGACGTGAACAGTCTCTGAC